TGCCGTCTATAACGTATAGGTCGACGTAGGCGTCGGCCCTCTTGGAGAATATCGTGCGATCCATTTGGGGAACGGTAGCGTTGATTACGGTTATGGAGGCCAGTATGTGGTCTAACTCGCGTCTGGTTGTGCTCTCGGGTGTGGGTGTAGTGGTTGTGGTGGTAGTCGTGGTCTCCTCGACGAGTCCCATAACGATAGGCGACTCCTTAGACTCGGAGTGAATGGCGTTCCAGTGCTCAGTGGATATGTCGCTGTCCGGAGGGTTAGGCCGTCGGTGTTGGGACGACAGTAGGAGCACCAGTAGTACGGCTCCGACCACGAATGCCAACAGAAATAGCCCCAACTTCTTGTAGTCGACGCACTGACGGGTACGGGTGGTGATGGTGTGGATGGGGATCAGGTGCAGAGCGCCCACACTATCGCTGGCGGTCTTCTTGAAGGCAACGCCGAAGTCCTTGATTTGCTTCATCTGTTTGTCCACCGATTCGTTGAATTTTATCTCTTTTTTCAACTGATTTTTGTGATGAGATTTCAGAAATGTTTAGTTTGTTTTGAATAACTTTTTATTGATTTAAATGTTTGTTTATAAAAGTTTGTAAATACCTCTTGAGAGTCAGTCCTTTTTGGATACATTTTGCGATTTAATGAGCTCTTAATGAATGTTTTAAATATTTATAAACGGATTGAATGTATGTTTTATTAATATTATAATACTCGTGACACTGATATCAAATTAATTGGTGTGTTATACACAATATATTCAATACATATGCACCAGTAATCGTATCAATAGTTTCCTGTCACTCGACACTCATTTCCAATACATTTGTGTAGTAATTGGCGTTTGATTGGAAACAAACACTCGGAATACTGTTTAATGTATTAATTTGATTGAAATTTTTTATTCAAATAGTTTCATATGATTTGTGTGATACGAAAATGTAGTGCGAAATGAAATGAGAGACTCAAACATGAAGTTTTCGCTACCCTTGAGCTAATACACAGCGAGCACTGAATGCATAGTAATAGGAGTTCCTAAACATACCAGTTCCTAGTCTTTATCAATAGACTGACACCCATTTCAATGGCTATCCCCTCTATCTATGCCTTTGAATGAGTTGTATGGATAAGAGTTTAGTGTTTCTGAATATAAGTTTTTGAAAACTTGTTTTTATTTGTCGCATAAGTCATAGCATATTATATGTGTGCGCACAGAATACTAGGAATTTTCACATAGCATAACCAACCGGACAGACCTACTCTATTATGTGACATGTATTGTAGCTAACGGTGCGCTTAAATGCATTGCAATGACAGCGAAAAATCATTTACCGTTTTATGTGTCACATAATCACGAATTGCTTGTTATGTTTAAATGTTTGGCAAAACAAATACTTTATATGAATATGATTTGATAATTATTTTCATATTATTGTAAACTAATGTCGACTTGTTTTTCAATGACAAACTCCAGGCTCTGTTTAAATAGTAATATAAATATTTATCATAAGATTTCGAGTCAACTCTAATCGCATTAACTATTGATTATTTTGAAAGTGTTTTTATATACAGTACACAATGTATTATCATTATGATAGACACACCTTTCCCTTACATTTACCTCTTTAAGTAGTTTTGATGAATACCTATTGGTGTGAATCATAAGATTAATGACATTATTCTGTATGAACTCATGGTTTTCCCCAGAATTTTGTTTATTTTATTTTTATTTATCCTCATTAAGAGGGAGTTTATCTGATTATCAAAATCTGTATAAACTTTTGGTTTGATCGCAAAAATGTGATGAACTCTTTGGATGCGATAATAGTTTTTCAAACATTAGTTATATTTTATAGAAAAATATTTGCTTTATAAGCAGTTTTCGGATACTTTATCGCAAAACATAGCATTAGTTAATTGAATGTCAAAAACCCATGTAATAAACTATTGATTTGGAAAAAAGTTATTTTTTATAAACAAATATTTGTTTTAAAAAACTTTACACAAAATATAATCATTATATTAAGAGTTTAGAGTATTTAAGGCATTTGTATCGAGACTTATGTCCCCAAAAAAGTAACATATTTTTCGGTTGACTTAACTTTTATACACCTCTTTCCACGAGACGGTAAACCAAAGCCTACCTCCCGTGAACTCCCTTTCCACTGACTTGCCATTAGCCCTCTCGAGGGTGAGCTCAGACATCTTGACCAAAAACCTGCCGATAAACTCGTCGGCGTTCCACTTGTCCTTATCGTAGACCTCGAACTGTAAGACGCTGTCCGTCC